CGCGCGCCCTGTCCGCGCCCGCCGCTGCGGCGGCGCAGCCGGCGCCCGCGCCGCTGCCTGGCGCGGCCGCGCTGTCCACGCCGCTGGCTGGCGCTGGCGACGCGGCGCAGGGCGCTGCCCTCGTTTTCGACACGGATGAGATGCTGGACGCCCAGCTAGACAGCATGCTTCAGCAAATTGATGCCGCCTATGGCCGCGCCTCCGTCGGCGGCCCCACGGGCGCCGCGTCGATGCACCCCTTTACCAGTCCCATAGGCGGCGTTGGCGCCGGCGGCGCGCCGCACCTGCCCCACCTGCAGCGCGCGCTGCAGGCGCACGCGTGGCAGCAGGCCGCGCAGCTGGCGCAGCTGCAGGGGCTCCACCTGCAGGCGGGGTACGTCCAGCGGCAGCAGGCTTTGGAGGCCTTACAGCACTCGAACTCGGCAGAGGCGGCCGCCCTCTACTACAGTTGGTCGGCAGAGGCCCGCGCCAACACGCATTTGTTCTAAGGCAATTGCTGCTGACGCGGCCCCCCAGCGGCCGGGCCTCGACCCTGCCCGGCGCAGCGTGGCGCTGGCGCGGCAGGGCCCTGCTTCGGGGAAACGGGGGGATGCGCCCCACACCAGCACCAGGGCCGGCCCCGCCCGCGGCCGTGGGCAGGACACGGGACGCCTGTGATTGCGGACGCCCTTGGTGCTATGCCTGTCTGACTGCCTTCTGCCTGAGGCCCACCTGTTCCCTGCCTTCTTGGCCCGATGAGACTATCTGTTGGCATTTTACTAGACAACTTGTTGCTTGAGTGGCGGGCTCGTGTGCCCTGCCCTCACACACAAACACTGAGGCCTAGGGATTTGATCCCGCTCTTTCTCTTTGTCCTCCACCAACACACATTCTCGTTCTCTCCCTCTCAAGCCCAGCCCCTTAGTGCCTCCACCCTTGGCGCTACAGGGACCTGCTGGTGCGACACAAATCTAGTCACTCCGCTGTTGCCGTTGGCCGTTGGATCGTATCTGTCTCTGTCCCTGCTGCTCTGCTCCCAAACAGACTGCCGTCCTTTCCATCTGATGCCGCACTAGTTGACACGGACGCGACTACCCTGGTCAGCTGTCCTTTGCAATCCCACGTTCGCCCCTTTGGACGCTGCGTTTGGGGGGGCGCTTGTCCCCATGCGCACCGAGCGCGCCTTGCGCCGTTCTGCAGCTCGCAACCGGGGCTGGTTCAAGCCCCAAGTCCTGATCAATCGACGGCGACTGCCCCAGTCCCACCCCGTGCCGTCGCTGCCGCTGGCAGGGCGGACTTGCGCACCTTGGTGGCCTGCCTTCATTCAGGGCCCCGCGCTCGGCGCGCGCAAGCCTGTGGCGGCGATGTATGGCAAATTACATGTTTGCAACAACAAATGTGGCACATCATATATGCCCCGCACTTGCAAACGGGCGCCCTGCGCTGCCGGCGCGTGCCGTGCTCTTGCTTTAGGGTCCGAGGCCGGCAGGCCTTGGCTGCACAACTCCTTCGAACGCGACGGCCGCCTCCATCTCCCACATGCAACCCATTAGAGCCTGCTTTAGCCAGGCGGGCACCTCAACGCATTCCGATCCCAACCCCGCTCAAGTTGCCCGGACCGCCAGCCCTCCCCAACCCAGCACTGCCCTCGGGGCGCCGATGCGCCCCGCCAAAAAACGCACAACTCCCCCCTCGGCTTCGAATAATGAAAGGTCTCAGACGGTGCCGGCGCGCAAGCCTCACCTGCCCGCTCTTGGCGCAGCCTCAATTTACTTTGCACTGGTGCTGGGCCCGTGCAGGTGCGCCCTCACACACCCCATCCCTTCCGCTCAACCGCCACGCACCTGGGAGCCCCTTCCGGGACCCGCCATGCTTTTGCACTTGGGAGGGACCTGCTTTTAGGGTTGTGTTAACCTGCGCCCTTTTGCTGCCGCCCGTTTGGGCCTGACCGCGGCTCTTATCTAGGCGCACTCTGAAGCACCCTGCACCTCATTTGCCGGCCAATCACATTTGACGGACTGAGCTCCCAACGCATGCTGCCGCGACGCCTGCGTGGGCCACTCCTGTGGTGGCCGACCACGTGGTGGCGCCGCGCTGCCGCCCGTGGGCTAAACACACTGCACTGGCTTTGGGTAACAAGCACCCGTTTTCCAGCGTGAATTGGCCGGCAAACAAGGCGACGAGCAGTGGGGCCGCAAGGGGCCTGTTGCAGGCCGCCCGCAAGGCGCGTTTCAGCAGCCCCCGCGCGCACAGGCGAGCGCCGGCTACGCGCAGGGCGGGCACACGACCAGCGGCAGCGACCAGACCAACTGCTCAACTGACTGCTTGCCGCCGCCGCCCCGGCCGCCCCTGGCGGGCACCCCGAGCGTGAGCTCGAACCGCAGCGCCCATCGGTGCGCGACCAGCGGCGTGCGGAACGAGGGGTGCGCGTTCGGCGGTATTGAGAACGTGAACTGGCCTGTCAGCAGGTGTGCCGTCGTCTGCTGCTGCTCCGAGTAGAGCGTGCGCGTGGCGCAGACGGCGCCGGCGGCGGGGCCGTCGGCGCCGGGCGGCGTGGCGGGCGGCTTGGCGGCGCGGTGGGCGTGGGCGGGCTGCACCTCCTCCTCTGACTGCAGCAGGGCAACCACCTTCGGCGGGAAGATTGGAAGATTGTATTGGTTATTGTGGAGGGGTGTCGTCATCAATATGTGGGTGGCAAGCGGCTGAGGTGAGGGATGAGGATGACGCGTTCGTGTGGGGAGGGGCGGAGGATGGCGGGGCGCAGTGGGAGATATGGGCCATATAAGGATGATCGCCAAGACGCAAGCGATGGAATAGACATGGGAACGCGTGGCCGCTGTCAGCCGCGCTGGGCAGGCCGCTCTTTAGGGCGCCCAGGCGCGCGACGACCCAGTGGGTGCACGACCAGGCGCCGGCCCCCGGCGCCGCGGCGATGCCCCGCACCTGCAGGCACGACGGCTGCGTCGCAGGGTCGGCCGCAGGCCCGTGGGCGGCCCGCAGGTCTAAGAACACGCCCAGGGTGGCGCCCGGCTGGAGGGGCGTGTCCATCGGCGGCTGCAGCGTGACTCGGACCAACGGGCGGTCGCCAGCCCTGGGGTGGGGGAGGGTGGCGGCGGCGGTGGCCGTGTCGGTGGTGGAGGTGCCGGATTGCGTGCGCGTGTGCTTTGTGAGATAGCAAGCGAATCGCAGCGAGAGGAAGAGAGGGAGGAAGAGAGACAGAGAGAGCATACGTGTGAGTGTGTGTGTGTGGGTGGGTGGGTGTGAGAGCGGTTTGTGTGTGGGTGCGTGTGTGGGTGCGAGTGCGAGGATGCGGATGGGCTTGGACGTGGGCAATTTGCTTGCGGGGGTGTAAAGGGGTGAGACGATATGCAAAAAGCCCCCGGAGAGCAGTTGGTCGTGGGTGCAACTGCAAAGCATTATGACATCCGGGCCACGGCTGCAACTGACATGCGCATGGCCTATCCGTCACTGGAGGCCGCCCGCCCGCGCACCGCAGGTTGTATGTGCGCGGCACCATGCTGGCGCGCTGCTGCAGCGTCAGCCTCCCGCCGCTGGAGCCCGCGTGGGCGGTCGAGTCAGCCAGGTAATCGTCAGCTTCCCCTTGTTCTGCTAGGCTGGCGCTCTCCAGGCTCGGCTGCTGCAAACCCTGCTGCTGCTGCTTCTGATCTCCTCGCTGCGCCTGGTCTTGCTGCTGCAGGTCCCCCTGAGGCAGCTGCTGCTGCTGCCCTGCCGGCTGCCGAGACAGCGGCTGCAGCGACCCATCGGCGGCGATGGCAACCTCCTGCAGGAAGTTACGAAAGGGAAAGCTTCAGCGTGTGGCTCGTCGTTGCCTCTGCCCACCGGGTGGGTGCCCTTACCAAGCGCCACCACTGCAGTCGGCCGCGGCAGGCAGGCAGCGGATGGCACGAAAAGCATCGCGCAACCTGCGGGGCGCCGCGCTGCGCCACCGACGAGCGGGGAGCGCTCGCGCAGGCAGCGCCGCGGCCGGAGAAGCCCCACCTCCCACTTGGCGCGCACGTCCTGCACCCCCAGCCGGTACTCCAGCAAATCAGGCTCCGGCTGGTGGTCCGCCCCCTCAGCTGCCGCCGCCGCAGCAGCTGCCGCCGCCGCCGCCGCTGCAAACGCCGCGCCCTGCGCGCCCTGCAGGCTGCCCGCCGCCGCCAGCGCCGCCGCCGTCGGCGTCGCCGCGCTCGGGATGGAGCCTGAGAGGCCCATGCTGGCGCGACGCCCGTCGATGCCGGCCGCTGCGCCGCCGGCGGGGCGCTCGGCCTTGGGCCACACCAACAAGGGGCAGGCGGCCTGAACGGCCACGGGCGCGGCGCCGCTGCCGGGGCCTGCGGCCGAATCAGCGGCGAGGCATTGGTTGCGCGACATGGCTAAGAGCAACCCGACATGGCCAAAGACCCTCCCACACGGCCGCCTCTGGGTGCAACCACCGCAGCTGCGCGCCGCTGGCCGCCGTCGGCCCAGCAGCGGCGTGGCGGCTGCTTCGTATTGGCAAGGTGCGACTCAGCATCCTAGACTGGTGACTGTGCGTGACGAGATCGCGCCCGCCGTGCGCCGCTCACCCGCAACAGTGCCCCTGGCCGTGACTTGGTATAGGTAGTGCACCGCGCTGCCCTTGAAAGTCGGGGGGATGCGCGAGGGCAGCCGGAACCTGGCGCGGCGCGCGTGAGCCGGGGAGTGCAAAGGGCGCCTGAACTGAGCTGCGGGGGGGCGTGCACATGCACGCCGACGCCCGTCTCGCGGGTGCGTCCTGACGTGGCACGTGCGTGCTGCCGGTCGCGCGACGGTCTCAGGATCAGGCCCGTTTAAAGGCCGCATTGTTTCGGACGGTCTGCGGCGGCGGTTGCTGCTCTTTTGGGGGGCGGGGCGCACCGAACAGTGTACGCCTTCACTACGCCGGGCCGCCACGGCTCGTCCTCCGCGATCTGCAGCCTCCCAGTTGTAAACACCGTCCGCACCAGCCGCTGAGAGGGCGAGGGCGGGCACAGATGGGGGGCAGCCGTCCGCGCGAGCCTCCGTGAGAGGCCACGAGGCTGGGGGGCTGGGGGGTCCCCAAGAGTTGCTGCCCCACGCACGCTGCACGTGGCCCCGCATGCGCTCACCTTGGTCTCCTTGTGGGCCGGCAGCTGCGGGTGGTACAAAGTGCTGACCCAGCCGGGATCGACTCGCTCCGAGCCACTGCATTCGATGGACAGCGTGACCCTGCCTGCGTCGCCCGCGTCGGCTCCGCCGCCGCCAGCGCCCCCATCCGCCGCCCGCTGGGCCTGATCAAGGGGATCGTGATCTGTGTCATGTAGCGTTTAACAAAGCAATCTCATGCATTCACGGGCTACGCACCTTGACCAAGATCTTCACTATTTCCCCCGGGAGGTAGCTACGGCGGTGCAGCGCTATAGAGACGTCCATGACCAGCCCCTTATATTACTCCATACCCCTCCGTCGCTGATCACGTGCCGGGACTGTGGCTAACAGTGTGTTCCAACCGTACTAGAAGGCGTGTAACACAGGAGTCTGGATACCACGGTATAATACCTCCCAGCACGTACGGTATCGCAGCTGGCTAGGGGCAGAACCCAGGGCGGCTGCGTGTGCATGCTGATACCGTAATGACATGAGCAAGTGACGGCAGGACTGTCGCTTGCCCTGCTCGTGCTGGCGCTGGACAGGCAATTACAAGTATGGGATCATGTGCATAAGGAGTTGCAAGCACCATGCATGCCGTTGAGATGGCGACGGAGTTGACCTGCTCCCTGCCGGCCCAGATGGATCAAGCTTCTTGTACAAGCACACGTGCGCCATCACTCTGCCTTTTTGCCACCGCCCCCGATGCGGCCGCCCGTTGCCTGGTCGTAGTCACGGCGCAGGCGGTCGTGCTCTGCCAGCAGCCGGTCATACTCGCGCTCCAGCCCCTGGGTCCCCGAGGTGAACGCAGCGCACGCTCATGTCAGGAGCGGCTTGCGGCCGTATGCGCGCGCAACGACCACTCCAAAATGAATGCACTCCGCATGACACAGCAGGCTGCACAAACACGCTCAGCACAGGCCCACACTCAAAAGCAGGGGCCATGATGCCGGGGTGAAGCACTGGTCCTCCAACACCCTGGACACAACATTGTGAAACCCCCCCGCACGTGTCCTCTGGCCCCGCCCACCTTGCTCTGATCCCTCATCGCTTCGACCTGCGCCTGCGCCCCCCTCCTCGCCGCCGCCGCCTCGTCCGCCGCCGCCTGCAGAGCCGCCTTCTCGCGAATCAACGCGTCCACCTGCCCGCGCAGCCGCGCGGCCTCGTCGCCGCCGCCGCCGTCACCGCCGCCGCCGGCCGCCTTGCTGGACGTGGCCCGGGTGTACTCGGCTTGTAGGCCCTTGGCCTGTCGGGGCGACACACGCGGCGGCAACGCTGAGAATGACACACGGAAGGAGAAATGGCCAGTTGCAGGGCCGCCGCCAATGATGCCGCCTGCCGCAGGCGAGAGAGCGGCTCCTGCTGACGGGCTGATACGCGCCTGCATCTCCAGCGTCGAGCACGGAAGTGCACGCGCCGGCAGCCCCGCGCCCACCTGCCTCTGCAGCACCTCCAGGTTCAGCTTGGCTTTGTCGGCCGCCAGCTGCTCCGCGGCCAGGGCGCGCGACAGGAACAGCAGCGCCAGGTTGGACACGCCCAGCACCAGCGCCAGGAGGGCCCGCAGCTCCTCAACGTTGAGGGCCAGCGCCCTGCGCGCAGCCGGCCGGGTGTACGCTGGTGCGTTGTGGCGTGTATTTGCTCCAGCAGAAGGGGAGTTGGGGGAGCGCCGCTTGGTCTGTGTGTGTTGCGGGCGGCCTGCTGGGTTGCGTGGTCGTGGCGCCAGGCAGCGCGGGCGGCTTGATCAGCGTGGATTGCCTGGTGCAGTCTCACCTGTCCCCGTACTGGGATCCCTTTTTCAGGGACTCCATCACGCCATAGAGCTGGATCAGCGAGGAGACGGTCATGGCGCCCACCGCGCCGGCCACGGTCAGCACCGCCGACTTGGCGGCCGCGTTGCCACTCGCCGCGGTTAGCAGCTTGGCGACCGGCGCGGACGCGGCGCGCGGCAGCAGCAGCGCCAGGCCGATGACGGCCTGGAGCGCCAACATTACCGCCAGCGGTAGCAACACTGCCAAATCCATGGGTGCACCAGTTAAGATGGGTAAGCAAACAGAGTTCTCCCTGCGTGGTGCAACCTCGCCGTGCAGCACAGGGCGGTGGACTTGTAGTCGCAGCGCCGCGACGCCAGCGAGCCGGGGTGGATCGAACAGTTGGATCACGCCACTTCGCCAAATGGATGCTGATATAAATGCGGGTTTGTGTGGCAGCGGCAACCGAACGGATCCCGCCTACGGTCTTGCACAAGTATGATCTGTGGGAACAGCACGTTGCACGTCATTTCCACAACATGTTATCCAGCATCCACATCGAGTGAGTCGTGCAGTGCAAGCTGGCATCTTTCCAGCTCCCGTGGTGAGGTGTCACCGCCATGTCACTCCAAGTCGAGAGCAGGGCCAGGTCGTGAGCCGGGGAGGTGAGCGGCGCGTGGCGTCGGTCGCTGACCACTCCCAATCGCCTATGCTGTAGCTATAACCTTGGTTGATGGTTACAAGCTGTCCTTGGTAGGTACAAGGGCGGACTTGTCATATGGTGGAAGGGGGTCTGTTGTGTCAAGTGCCAACGTTTTTGAGAGCAAGCAGGTTTGCAGTTGGCAGCAGGCGTACTGTGAGGACCCGTGCATCCAGGATGCAACGGCCCTTATCGTGGGAACACTAGTCAGGCGGCTGGAAGTCCCTCAAACCTTCAGCATGCACCACCTGCTCCGGCTGTGCAGCTTCCTGACGCGGCCGCTGCTGCTGCTGCTGCTGCTGCTGGTGCTGCTGCTGCGGCTGCTGCGGCTGCTCCACCTCGTGGTGCTGCCCTGCAGCGGCCGGCACCGCCGTCACCGCTGCATCCAGCCGCGGCGCGCCCCCCACGAAACCACCCCCAAAGCCGTCGCTTGCGCAACCCGTCCAGGGCTGCTCGCGGTCAGGATGGTCGGTCCCGACCCCGTCGTCGCCGCCGCCGCCCGCGGCCGACTCGCTCCAGTTTGAGGCGCTGCGCCGCGGCTGCCTCGCCAGCGGCTGCCCATCCCAAGGCCGCCCCAGGCTCTTTGCGCTGTCCGCTGGCCCCGCGCCCGCAGCGCCGCCGCCGCCGCTCCCATTGACCGCTCCATCGAGGCCCGCCCGCCGCGGACCGACCACGCCGCTGGGCCCTCCGCCGCCGCCCCCGGCCTCCGCACCAGCCCCGTCTGCGCCAAACCCCGGCCCCGCCCCTCCCCCCTCGCTGACCTCCTCCTCCTCTGCGGCCCCGACCCCAGCCGGTGCGATTTCGAAGGCGACGCCGCGGTCGGCCAGCAGCTGCCGCGCCGCGTGCAGACGTTCCATGGCCCAGGCCAGCCGGTCCTCCGCCTCGCGGCGGCCCTCCCGCACATCGTGCACCTGAGAAGACGGCATGACGGCAGCAGCAGGGCCTCGGGGGCGTGCGGATGGTCGGCGCGCGGACGGGGCTCGTCCCGGCTCAGGCAAGCGTCCACAGAGCGTGAGAGTACCTGATCCTCCGTGGCTCGAGCAGAGCAGGCAGCCGAGCGCGTCCAGCCGTTTGAGCCAACTGGCACCAACGGCGCCCAAAGCCCGCAGCTTCCCCCCACCTTCTCTAGCAGGTCCTGGACTCGCTCCTGCAGCTCGGCTATCTCGACCCCCTGAGATAGCAGCTGCCGCCGCGCTGCCGCCAGGTCATCCGCCCCCGCACCGGCGTCTCCCTCTATTCCGCTGCCGCCGCCGCCGCCGCCGTCCTCGTCAGCGTCGTCGCCGAGGCCGTTGAGCTCGCCTCGCCCGCCAGCGGGCGGCTGCCGCGCGGCGGCGTCCGGCCGCCCCTGGCCCTCCAAGTCCTCGGACCCGTCGCTGAGGCCGTGATCTGAGTCGTCGTCGCCGCCCGGTGAGCCGCCGAGGAAGCCGAGCAGCCCCATGGACACACCTGAGTGGCAGACGCAGCACTTGGCTTACACCACAGCAAGCTTCCGTATGCAAGCTAAAAGTTGAAGGTAGAAGGCCCTGCCAAACCGCATCCCCACTATCCTGAGCCCCCAAGTCCGTTCCATGTTGGCGTGCCGGATCCGAGACACCCACCTGCGTTCCCAAGCGCCTCGGCATCTGCCACGTCTGCCGCCTCCATCTCCGCTGCGTTTGCAAAGTTGCTTGCCCAAAACCTGGGGCGGGGGCGTGCGTGCGGGGTGGCACGGCCGCCAAAACGGGTCAGACGCGCTTGTGACCTCAAGTGGGGCACGGCACGGAGCCCGGGCTGTCCCAAAATTGTAAACGGCGGCAGTACCAAGCACTGAACGGGGCGTGCACCCTCGGTCCTCCTGGAGATCCGGCTGGTGAGCTCCCAGCATCAGCACCAAAGGCAGCGTCAAGTGCTGAGTGCCCACGCCGCTGCGCCCTCCACTCACACGCCAGGCGCAAAGTTTGAGGGCGTCAGGCGCGCGGCGGCGGCCTTGGCGTTGAGAGGGTCCTTGGTGGGTGTGTGGGCCACGGCGTCGATGAATGCTCCACTGTCTGCAAGTCGACGTGGTACATGTGCGTGTGTACATGTGTGTGCGTGCGTGCGTGCGTGCGTGTGTGTGTGTGTATGTATGTTTGTGTGTGTGTGTGTGTGTCTACACGCGCGCGAGCGTGTGCACCTGCCTGCGAGTGATTGTGTGTGTATGTGGGTTTGTGCGCGGACGTGTGCAAAGACGGTCGTGAGGACACTGGTGGCAGGCGGTTGCAAGGCTGAATGCATCAACATGCAAAAACCTCGGCACCTTGCGACTGCAGCTACAGCTCGAAGCATGAGGCAGTCAGGCCCGTGGCCGTGCCGCTGTGTGCTTTAGCCAGGGGCACTGCTGCACGCCGCCCTATTGGTGCCCACGGCTCACCCTGGGTCGTTAGGTACCGGTTGTCGTTGTGCGGAGCAGCGGGCATGGCGCTGAACGATGGGGAACGGTTCCTGATGCCGCCGGACGGCTGGTGCTCTGCGGGCGCCGCGAGGGGCGCCAGGGCGGGAGCGAGGCGGGCCGCGCCGGCGGTGTGGGTCGAGAGGGGCAGGGGGATACATCGTCTTGGAGTGAGGTTACGGCGCGTCAAGCAGGTGAGGCGCTTCGTGGTAGACAGGGAACGCACCGAAGTGCCGCGCGGTCTTGCGGCGGTTCTCGTTGCGCAGCTGGCCCAAGTCCACCGGGCCGAGCCCATCTTGGGGCGCCATGGGCAGCAGCGGCGGCCGCTTGCGGCCTCTGCCCCTGCCGCCGCCCGCGC